GGTGAAGGGGGGGTTAGAGGCGGTCCCGGGGGGAGGGTGAGGAAGGCGTATATTCTATAGATACTCATTATATTCAATGAGGAGAATAATACTGAATACTAGTAATCTTGTAAATATTACAAGCCCATTGGTACTTACTCATTTAGTCTGCGTCATTTTATAGGTCAGCAGAACCAACAGAGGGTTGCTAGCTTTGTTAAAGAGGCGTTTAGGACTCGAGACTACATTCAGACCTTGTCTCATGAGCCACCCATGGCTCCTACGGGACTATAAAATAAATTGATTGATTGATTGACATGGGGTGTTCACTAACATACCGTAGGTACCCGGGGACCGGATATAGTTGGTGTGGTGGTTAGGGTGGCACATGGCTTGGCGTGCGGAGAGCGTAGTATATGTATTTTTGGTCAGGGTTTTAAGTTTGTGTGCCCGAGGCTTCTGAACCTTAGTGAACACTCTGCTTAATGACACTTCCGTTGCCATTACCGTTCCTCACAGGTAACAATATAAATGTGAACATCAATGTGAACATCAATGTGAACAACAGGAATGTGTTCACCAGATCGGAGTCCGGACTCCAACTTGGGGTGTTTACACACCCAGCGGGTGTTGTTTTCCGCAACTGGGTACCTCGCCGAGAACTCCGAGTCAACTTGAAGGTGTTGTTTTGCCTCTTGCGCCGAAGTTGAACGAACCAACTGTCCGGTTGAACAGATTTTTGCCCAACAATTTATTTCGTATCTCATGCGTTCTGGGCAGCATCATTTGTCCATTTATTTTGTTTTTTCATGGGGCAAAAAGATCTGCACAGTGCAAATCTTTGTTTGGAATATATTCTCAATTCAGATTTTTGGGCAAGTCAAAGAATATCTAATTGTTGCCCAACCGGACAATTGGTACGCGGGTTGTCGGCGACTTCGAAGTTCGGGGGGTACCTTGGCCTCACGCAATACCCGTAGAGACATTCCTAATTCGCACTAAATTGTTTATTTTTAGGCCTAACGAAAAATAAAAAACTAAGTTTCGACTCAGGTGCGAAAATGCGAAAGAAGATTAAATTCCCTGGCAGCCCCAAAAGTGGCAAAACAAGGGTAAAAACGCCAGAAATACGCGAAAACAAAATTTCAAATAAATTCGTCGAAGCTGCCGCGAAATGGAAAATCTTTCAAAAATAAATATTCGCACCAAGGTGGTGCGAATTAGGAATGTCTCTACGGGTAGACGGTAGTCCTGGGCGACGCGGTCCGAAAAGTCCGATCACGGATTGCACCACCGTCATGCACCCGGCTTTTCTTGGGGTATAGCACTTTGAAAGAGCGCGCGGCGCGGTGTTTTTGGAGACGTATGACCGTACGAGTCGGCGGATTATTGGCGAAAGGAACTGTGGTGTTTTGTTGGCGACGGCAGCGCCGCGACCCCTGCTTTATAGTCGCTCAAAATACCCGCTCTGTGTGCCCGAAGGGTCCGGACTAGTCACCTAAGGTACGTACGTAAGGGCGAGCGGCTCACGTGGTTGAAGAAATGCGTTTGTCCCGTCCCACACGGAGTCATACAGAGAACGGGCATACTATTAGGTATTTGGCTATGCCATGGCGAGTACGAAAATTAGAGAAAAAGAGGCCGTCATCCTGTGGTTGAAACGATGGACATACACCTCATATACACAGGTCGAAGAAGCAGGCACCGATAGCAAGCACCGATCGCAAGCATGCGTAAGCTGTCGCCATTGCTAATCTCATTACTTTGTGCCAGCAGTGCTTTCGTGACCGTATGCGCATATTGACGTAGGTATCTTTATGCCTTTAACTCCAGATTCCTAACGAATCAGTGGATCAGTGGCGGGTCAGTGGCGCGCACATGCTAGAAGACCGTTTGGATCCTCGAATTAAAATCGAAAGAATGATCGAAACGGTCTGCCTATGTGGATTGGAAAGGTTCCATTACGCGCCAAAGTGCACCTCCGTTGAGAATAACAACTTGAAACGGATTGATATATATAGATGTGATGTGCTCCATCATGTACTTAGGCTTCGATAAAAGTCGTGTAGAGGTTTGTGCTGTAGATAAATTCCCAAGTCCGTCTGTACTCTGGTGCATCCGTTATCGCGTCCAACAACAAACATTCATGTATATGCCATAAGAAACCAATGGCCCTTCAGCGCTGTACAGTGCGGCATCGAAGACAGAACATCTTGGCCGGGCTGATTTAGAGAAACATTTTGAAGCACCCAAGCATTGGACTGGAATGTTGATGACCCCTCCAGCCCAACGAACTCTCAAGCGATGGCGCGATTGGGGCGCGCAGTTTTGCCCTTGAATGGATTACCCGCTTAGAATCTCAAACTCAGCGAAATATCCTTTGTGGCTGACTGCCTTGATTGTGCGCTGTCAACTCTTATTTAAGACTTTGAATTCGACTCTATCTGGCACCAGTCTCCCTACCAATGAGGACTTTGTACGTGCAGCATAAAGTGCCTTGATAGCGTCTTCAAGGGTCCTGCCTCCGACTGGTGGTCGCCGTAGATGAGTCAAATTAGCGCTCACACCAGCTTCGTTTACAAAGAATGCAGCCATTACAATGACATTGAAAAGTGTAAAGCGAACTAGACCTCATGATTGCTAGTAGTTCGTGTCAAAGCCACTTCTTGAGCCTTCACCTTAACATCACGTGCCATTATGCAATCCAGAAAGTAGATGGCAAGGACTGTCAACATCAAAACAATACTCAGTAAGGAAAGAAAGTGGCTACTCAAGTTTCCCTTTGTAATCAACGAAGTAATTAACGGCCCCACGACCATCCCTCCCGCATAGAGGACGTTATACACAATCACCGCAAGCCCTTCGCTCTCGATTCCTCTCTTCTCCAATGCACGAAGCAAACGAGGAAAGATGGGTCCGCTCATCAGCGCCATCCCCGAGCCTGCACATTGCAACGAGGATCGGAGTCAAAAGCAGCTCGATATTCAAAGCAAGAAGAGATCTGCAAAAAGTCGTTCTCGTTTTTTTGAGTACGACTTGGCTCATGTGAGCTGGTGAACGAGCTCAAAGCAGCCAGAAAAAAAGCGTCCTTACAAGTCGAGAGGAGAGGAGGGATGCCGCCCGAGACACTAAATGGTCTTGCAGGCCCATGCCGTCTGACCAGTCGGGTTCTTACCAATGACTACCATCACCAGCGGTTGTCCCCACAACTTTCCGCAGAGCGTCTGCAGGGAGAGCACGGGGAGAGCGGCCGCCATGAGTGCCATCCCCCCGGCCATTGTGTGGAGATCTCCGACCCGTTGGAGTACCCATGACGTGCCTTTGTAAACAACCACAGCGTACGCGAGCGCGTACCCTCCGAGGACGAAGCCACTTGCGCTGAGCGAAGTGTGACACGTGTCCTTCAGAAAGCTTGGCACGACTGTGTCAATGGAGCCAACGACAACTCCCTCTACAAGAAGCGCAACGATGGCAGGGAGCGCATGCGGGCTGGTCATCAGTTCCCTGAAAGCTCGTAATGCAGAGGTGCCCTGCTGCTTGGCTTTCAGCTCTGGGTCCGATAAGGACGGAACTGAATTGCCGCTGCTCCTTTTCTCTTTGGCAGGCTTTCTAAGGTCGGTGGCAGCCTCAAGGAGAGGGACGTCGTCCTTGCTTGAGGTGTCTTCATCAGCTTCACCTCTTTCTCTGTGACCACCCCAAGCTGAACCGTGACCCGTTTGGTGCCTGCGCGGCTTTGTCCGGCCAGGAAGGAGCAAGAAGAGAAGGGGTGGAAGTAGGACAGCAGTCAAAGCGCCTATCACCAGAAAGGGCACCCAGGCTTGTATGAACCCATATATTAGAGGAACCAGAGAAGGCCCCAAGGCATAACCCAGTGACTGGGCGCCAAAAAGGAGACCCACGTCCTGGACCAGATCCGTTGCGATGGCAGGAGCCTCCAGATTCACTGGTGTCAAGCTGCGCTCTTCACTAAAAGCAAGACTGGCTGTGCTCCGAGGACTCCGCACCTCAGGACTCTTACAGGTTGGACTCAGGCATCGTTGCACCAGAGAACCTAATGCATCGTGGCCCGCATCTGAGGTGCCAGTTCGCAGCTCGCATTCTTCCAGCGTACCAGCCCCTCCACCTGGCTCCACACAGTTCACCCCAGACCGCTGCTTCCGATGCTTCCCGCCAGCGACCAGGCCTCTGTTCTCATCTGTGAATTGGAGGGAGTGACCATCGAAGGACCGGCGCTGTCCACTATGAACCTCACTGCTCTTCCCCAAAGACCTTCCATTCTGCGTCCCTTTTGGAGCATGCTCGCTTGCCTGCAGCTTGCTCACTATCGCAAGCGCTCCAGCGAAAGTGAACTCCGCGCTGCAGCCTGCCAGCACCATGGCCAGCTGCAGCTGCCACTCGGAATGGGCGCTCACCCCGAGCAACAGGCACACCCCGAGGAGCGAGAAGAGGCCCGCGGCCAGCAGAGGCACGTGCCAGCTGTACAAGAGCAGCAGGCCAGAAGGGATCATTGCACCGAGGGTGCAGCCATAGTTGATCGCCAGAAGCTGTGCCACTTCGCGGGCGTCTGAAGCGACATGGCGAGCTGTAACTACAAACGGCAGAAGCGCTGGAATCGCACCCGCCGCCAGCGCATCCAGAAAGAGACAAGAACTCAACAAGAACTTGCGGAGAACAAGAGGGCCCTGGCCCTGGGCCTCAGCGGTCGCCATTGGCTTTCTGGTTTTTGGGCATGGGAGCTCTCCCGAGGTGAACAGAAGCCATGAGGGTATTGTGGGCTCCGTACATAGAATGGCCGATACATTCTGCTCTAGAAATTAGGAAGTTGCAGCTTGCTTTTGTTGAAGTCCGCGACTCTAGCTGCACGAGTCGTACGGAGGAGTCTTGTCGGCTGCTGCCTGCACCACCACTCCCATCAAGATGCTGGTCCGGCATTGCGCATGTTCCAAGATCAAGTCCTCCCACACAGCTTCACTCTTCTTAAGTTCAAGAGAATTGCGGATAGCCTTTGCTGATTGCGAGCCTATGTATATGAGAAGAGAGCACAGCCCTGAACTCTGCATGGTTTGCCCGTGTCAGCATCCGTTTTCAACTTGTCTAGATGCGCTGATGTGAGTTCATTGAAAACCTGAAGCAATGGGTTCTCTGTGCACAATAAAGTTGGTGGGTGTGTTGGGGTGGCCGTGCCAGCTTTTGCAGGGTGATCAAACTCATGCGTGTTCAAAGCAGAGGCTTTCTGCACATTATCCAACTGTTGTTGCTCGGAAGGAGCCATTTTGGGCACGCGGTCTCCGCAGGTTCTGCCCGCTTGGGCCCACAAAAGCTCTAGGCGCACTTCCCTATGATGTACATCGCAAGCCCTGCAGCTTGCTGAGGGCGTCAGCGTCTTCTAGGAGCGCTCAATCGCAGGGCCAGGCAGCCCCCTCGCAGCCTGCAGACCTCGAAGATGGGTACACGGCATACTTTGCGTCCATGCTGGGGACCAACAACAGTGCCCAAGATAGAGAGGATGCTGCCTCGGCGCTGTGGCAGCAGTCTTTCGAGAGCACGGAGAAGCTGGAACGCATTGGAGAGATTCCAGGTAAGGGGATCGAAAGCTATCCTGTTTGAGATGATGGCCAGTCGTACGTGGGTGTTCAAGCTGGTGGTGACCAATGACACCAAAGAGTTGCAGCTGCGGATAAGCAGTCGCTGATAAACAATGTTGAAAAGTTAGTAAATCACGTTGTATATTCAGACCTTCAGAGATTAAAGGGATTCCCAGGAGGAATTGGTCACTTCGTAGACACTCTCAATGTACAAGCGGTGAGTGCAGCCCACCTCCTACTTCGTCCTAGAAGCAGAGACCAGTAAGAGCTTTGCCCACTGGCCTTGAATCTGACATGTTCGTTTGCACCCTTTTGGCTTCCAGGTTGCATTTCACTTCTGATCAGCCTGCTTAAGGCTGACACTGCACGGGGGGCAGCCTCTGCGGCAGGGCTTCTGCGCAACTTGGCTCAGATTGACACACTTCGGGAAGAGATTGCATGGGCAGGCGGCGTGGAGGGCTTGGTGGGCCTGCTGGAGCGCAGGGGCACCCCGGCGCTGGTGCGCGAGCAGGCTGTGGGGGCGTTGGAGAGGCTCTCACGGGGGCGGCACGAAGCGGAGACAATTGTGGCGGTCGGGGGCCTGGGCCCCAGCCTGGCGTCGCTGGACAGTGCAATGGAGGAGGAGAGGCTCGCTGCGGCGCGCCTGGTGGCCAACCTGGCCAGCGTTGCGGCAGTGCGCGAGAAGATCGAGGAGGCGGGGGCGGTGCCGAAGCTGGTGAAGCTGCTGACGAACGCAGAGACGGAGTACTCGCAGGCGGTGCGGCAGGAGGCGGGCGCGGCGCTGAACCAGCTGGTGGGCCCGCTAGTGAACTTGCTCGACACTGCGCAGGGCGGGGAGCGCGTGGCGGCCGCCGCGGTGCTGGCGGACATGGCGCGGGACAGGCACCAGAAGGGCGCCCTCGTGGCAGCGGGAGCGGTGGATAAGGTGCTCGCAGTACTGATGGAAGAGGAGAGCGCGGAGGACGACGAGATGCGGGACGCGGCGCGGCAGGTGGTGGACGAGCTGAGGCTGCTGGCGGCGGAACAGCCGGCGCGGCCGCGGAACATCGAGGAGGGCTACGTGGGCCTGTTTGTGCGCATGCTGGGGCTGGACAGGTGAGGGCGCGGTGGGCGGCTACTGGAGTCAAGCGAGTCCAAAATGTCAAGGCGTTGTTATACCAACGTAGTGGTATACTTGCCAGACTGGGGCTGGCAAACTTCGTGTCTTGACGCAAAGCAGCCAGCCTTAGCAGCAGCGATGGCAGGATTGTGTTCGTTGAGCTTCGAAGGTGACTTCATGCTCAGTCGAAAAGTGGCTTCTTGACCTGTTGGTCGAACCAGTCTCGTACATAGAGTCCGAGTTGCCTTGTTCCGCATCAATCTCTCCAAGACTCTGTGTGTGGGCTTCCATGCTTCGAACGTTACAACTTGAAACGACCTGGACTGAAAGTTGTCGGCCTCTTGCACACAACGCACAAGGGCTGCCCATGTTCTTCAAATCTGTCTCCAACGATTGGACCCCGAATCCCTTCTGTACTGTGGCTCAGACCTATGGCGGAGCGCGAGGAGGCGGCTGTGGCGCTGTGGCACCACGTGGTGCAGAGCCGCGAGAACCTGGAGGAGGTGGGCCAGCTGCCGGGGGCGCTGCCGCTGCTGGGCCAGCTCATGCGCGAGAGGGACCGCCCAGCAGCGGCAGAGGCGGCAGCGGGGGTGCTGCGGGCCCTGTCGACAGTAGACGAATATCGGTTCAGGTACGGAATGCGAGCCCTTCTTGGACAGGTCGTAGAAGGCGGGGACAAGAAGAGCTCGACTTATTTTGCATATTCCCTTCGTCCTTCGCGACATTCGGTGTGGCTCCCATGATTGACGCCAGTGAGCCGAACAGAGCTCGCTCAGAAGACTATACAAATGGTCAGACGTTTGTTCGCTTGAGATGGTCCATAGCATCCTTGAGGCGGTCAAAATACGACAACGTGGCGAGTATTGCTTCGCTTGTAGGGGCCAAGGGGTCTGCTCTGTCACATGAAGCGCTCGTACGGACGTTGTGCGAATGGATTTACCATTCTCTTTACAAACTAAACCGCTCCGCCTAGGTCCTCCTCTGTGCCTTATGCTTCCCCGTGACTGCTACCCCTCTGTCATCTAGGGTGTTTGAGGCGGGCGCAGTGGAAGCTGCCCTCGGCGTGCTGCAGCAGTGGAGCCACGAGGCTCCCGAGGTCCGCCGCCAAGCACTAGGCCTGCTGCACAACCTGTCGGCCGGCCGCCGCGAGGGCCTCCAAATCATAGCAAGCCAGGGCGCCGAGCTCTGTACCGCGCTGCTCCGCCTCTGCTTCCCGCCAGACGAGCTCGCGTTCGACCCGGCCAACCCGTTCGCGCTCACGTCCACCGACTGGCGGCGGCCCATCACCGACGACGAGATTGGCACAGTCCTGGGCGTGCTGTCCAACCTGGCAGCCAACGACGCCGCGCGGGGGCCCATCGCGTCAGCGGGTGCGATTGCATGCCTTGCGCAGCTGCTTGCGAGCGACGGCGTACCGGCTGTGCTGCGCGGCAAGGCCAAGGCGGTATTGGCGGAGCTGGCCAAGCAGCCCGTGCTCAAGGACCAGTTCACCGCCGCGGGGCTGGTCCCCGTGCCGCTGATCAAGGCGCGCTACTTCTCGACCGTTGCACAAGGCCTGACCAAGAGCGCGAGTGCGCCGGCGGGCATAGCGCGGCAGTACAAGGTGATGCCGCGCGGGGAGGGCGTGGCGCGGCTGGTGCTGATGCTGGGGCTGGCGGACCCCGAGGCAGTGTCGGCCGCCGCGGAGGCGATGCGCGACTGGGCGGACAGCGACGAGAACCGGAACGAGCTGAGCAAGGCGGGCGCGGTGCCCATGCTGGTGCGGCTGCTGGCGTCGGGGGAACCAAGCGGGCAGAGTGAGGGATCGGAGCAAAGCGGGGACCGAGGGCAGGGTCAGGACGGGGCGGGGCAGAGCGCAGGCGGCGAGCGGGGCTATCCGGAGGTGGCGCGCGCGGCCGCAGAGGCGCTGAGCGTGTTATGCGCCAGCACGGAGGTGCGGCGGAAGGTGGAGAAATCCGCGGGGGTGGAGGGCCTGGCGTGGCTGCTCAAAACGGGGGGACGCGCGCAGCGGAGCGCTGCGGCCAAGGCCCTGTTCTGGCTCATGCAGGACGAGGACGAGAGCAGCGCGGCAGAGGAAGCGGGGCGGCCGGGCAGCATAGAGGGCCTCATCGATTTGATAGTGGCGGGGAAGGAAGCGGAGAGCACAGCAAACGCGGAAGGGCAAGGGGAAGCCGGAAAAGCGGCGCGTTTGGGGCGGAGGGAAAAACTGGTGGCAGCGGGGGGCTTGCCCAGCCTGGTAGAGATACTCGGCGAGGGCACCCCCGAAGAGAGCGAGGTCGCCGCCAGCATCCTCAGCAGGGTCTCAGCGGAAGAGAAAGGGGCTGCGGCTGCCGTCGAAGCCCAAGTAGTCCCAGCCTTGGAGCGGCTTTTGAGTCGACGAGTGGTCGATGCAGATGACGGGATCAACGAGGGTCCGTCGCTTGGACTTGAGGAGTTGTCCGGCGACGACGTTGTGGCGCGTAACCGACTATGGGCCGCCCAGGTGGCCGGGGCCCGCCTGGCGGCCAGCCTGGCGAGCCACGACTCGACGAGGGGAGCGCTGCAGGCCGCCGACGTGCACAGCTTGCTGTCTGGGCTGTTGCTGCTGGATGCGCCGCCCGAGGAAAAGGAGGCCGTCTCAGAAGCGCTGCTGGCGCTGGAGCAGCGGGACGACGCGCCGACGGTGGGGCCGTCGCGAGACACGGAGCGCGAGATCGTGCAGCACGTGGAGATCCCACGGCTGCTGGCGATGCTGGAAGCGGGCGCCCCGCTGGCGCAGCGTGAGGCCGCAGTGCAGGAGCTGCTGTACGTGGTCAAGGCGGGCGGCGAGCAGGAGGCGCACCTGGCGGCGGTCGCCAGCGGGGGGGGCATCTTCTCGCTGGTGGACCTGGCCAAGGAGGGGGGGGACAAGAGCGTGCGCGCGGCGCTGACCCTTTTAGACATGCTGACGCTAGATGAGGACAATCACCTGGTCATGCTGGAGGCCGGAGCCGAAGAGGTTCTCGTACGGATAGCAAGAGGCGAAAGTGAAGATTGGAAGCTGGCCATGAGAGTTTTGCGAAGACTTCCTGTGTAACGTACGTCGGTTTTGGAGCGGACTGCTTGCCTCTGCAGCAGCGAGGGCAGTTGAGTTCGACAGTGAGCATTGTGACGTGGTGAATGAATGGTGCATTGCAACGTTGCACGATAGGATATCATATTTGATCCATTACTAAGTTCTGAGCTTGGGAAGGAGCCGCGCTCTCCCTCAGTCGTTTTGACCCACCCACGACGGGAGTGTAAACATATCCTTCAAACGGTTCTTGCAGGAATTACAATGAAAACACCATGCCCCACCATGACCTCACTGATTCCCTTCCACTCCCCTTCTTCATGCTGCTTGAGACTCAATCGAAAAAGTGCTAACTATCAGTTTATTACACTTTCCGACCATGCTCGATCAAAGAGGATTTTCGTTGTGGTGTGTCTGGTTAAGTGATATTCATAATCCAATTCATTGCGTCAGGTTTTTGGGACCACGAAGGAGCATGCCACCATGGCTGCAGTGCACGTTGATCCAATGATATCAAGTGTATCTCGATACAATGTACAATTCACCGTGCAATTCGTACGCAACTTTGATGGTTTCAGCGGGCCCACTAGCATGCAACTCAACATGAGTCGCGACCAGCCACTGATGCAACTACCGATGGATCGACCAACTTTCAACCTGCATGAAATACACATACACATGTACACGGTGGTTGATTTGCAAGAATGGTTGATTGTCAACATGCAACCTCGATCGTCGTGAAATGCATTCCACGCAAGGCGCCAGAGTTCCTCCGGCATGATCGGACTTCATGATTATGACAGAGATGCGGGTCTCCACGTGTCTGAAATCATAACAAACGCTGAGCTGACACCAACAAAACAATCTTGAACGTCAATATTGACGACCTAGTCCTGATTGCTGAGCCAAACACATTCGTCTCAAATATTCTCGGTTTGATACACATTCAAATAGCCAATGTCAATGTATGGAACTTCACTACCCTTGCCTTACAATGACCTTGCACAATAGCTTGAGAGCATACCTGCACGGATGCTGCACGTTCTCGCCATCACCAATTCACCTATACAGGATACACTGATGCTACAAGCTCTGAGAGCTGGGGAGTGGACTACCTATCATTCACCATGCCTTGGAGACTCTGTACATTCCTGAAACATATGTCCGTTACAATATGTTTGACCAGGAGCACCGCCAGCACCTTCTAAAACATCGAATTAATCTGCCGTCTCCTCCATTTCATCCCCTGTACTTCCTGCACCTCCTTGGTCGCTTCTTAACCCCAATCTCGTCCCTGCAGCTTCAGATTCTTCGGCTTCTGCATTGACCTCCTCAACTAGTCGGAACCTCCCCAAGCGTCGCAGCCGACGGCCACCAACACCCCCTGCACCCGAAACCCCTCTCCATGACAAAGGCAGACCCGTCTCCTCCGCGCCGTCGAGTCCGTTTTGGTGGCTGGTCTCCCCAAGACCGACACTCCGAGTCCTGTATGCCGGCTGGTGCCCTGCAGATCCGGTTGCCTCTCCCTGCTGACGCACTGTAGCAGTGCCTGCGCCAGAGTTGTCCGTTGGCTGAGTCTCCTGCGGGGCCTCTTGCCGGCTGCGTGTGTAGTAGTGGTGGGTTGGCGGAGCAACGGGCTGTTGCTCAGCCTCGTCCTCTGAGTAATCCTCTGATTCGCTGTCGGGACTTGCCGTCATCTCCCTACACATGACAACAAGTTCTGATGAGCGAGTCGTTCTGTTTGCATTAGCAACGACTTTCTTGTGATCTCAGCTAACCAAGTGAAGCACCACGGTTCCGAAGCAGAATACTACATCCCCATCCTAGCAGCAAGCAAACAAAGAGATGGACCGATGTATGCCACAGACAGCAAATCGTCGGTGCCAGAAGCAGATTATCTGCGAAACAGCTATTGAAATCTACAGAGGAGATAACTATGAAATTGAACTTAGCTGCTTGCTTTGTGAAAAGTGCAACAGTATCCAAACTATGCAAATGACGAGATCAGGGTTCGAAACACCACTACTCGTCTTCCAGTTCATCATCAGGACAGCCCTGCAATAAGAATACTCACAACAATTGCTGCCGTGATGCTCTCCTAGCTGGGCCTGGCCCCATCACGAACCGCCTCGCGACACTGAACCCCCCAATCTCGCCGTCCAGCATGTGAAATAAAAAGTACACCGTCCACCCTCTTGACTCCGGCTCCGCGTTTTGGGGCTCCCCATTTGGCCCGCTGAAAGCAGCACTGAGCACATCCTGCATCTCGCGCTCCCTCTCGGCCCGCTGCCAACTTTGAGCTTGCTCCGGCTTTACTTCTGTGGGGCGATCATTGGGATGGTCCTTCCGAGCATGCCTGCGAAGAGCGGTGTACTTGGCCTTGAAACTACATGACTCCTTTGCGCATGGTCTCTCTTTCTGGTTCCAGTAGTGACGTGCACCTGGGAGGAAGAGAAGAGTAGATCGGAAGCCACTCAAATAAAGGGTTTCAAAACGTTGATTCTGGTTACTTGTCTGCCTAACGCACACAACGTAAGCGCAATTAAGAAGACATGATTTGGCCATGTACAGCTTGGTTCTTTGCTTCTTCCAATGTTGAGATAGCCAGAGGATACAGACCAGTGAAAACAAGGGACTGACTCATTGACTCAAGAGGCTGCGAAACTTGGCTGAAAGAGGCAACGCTCATTAGCGGACGTGTCTTATGGACCAAATGAAGAAGGTGCAGCAGAGATGTTGCATAGTAGGGTGCTCTGACTGTTGTGAATGGATCGCCAATCTGTCTTTGAGAGTTCACAAAAACTTCTGAGGAGCTCCTCATGAGCTGAATAGACTCAGCATGTGCTTTTCATAAGGCCTCTTCAACCACCGCAACACACATAGGACCTGCGCATGCTTGGCGAGTGCCAATCAGCAGTTGCAAGAAGCAGCAAACTCTGCATCCGAGAAATCTATAGCGGCTCTTCGTAAAATTAGGGTTCCTAAAATGATAGATCTGAAGGAGGCCTACGAGCTGGCTTTGTGAACCCTTCTTGTCATCTTTGCAACGCGGAGCAAGGTCAGCAGGCAGCGGCTATCTGTCATATCAAGAACCTTACGAAGAAGAACCTACCCTTGTTGATCTTCTGCCCAGTCACTGTTCCCCTACAGAGCGGGCATGGCAGACGAAACTCCCTCTCCTTCCCTTCCACCTCGACGCACTCGGTCATTGTCCTCTTGTAAGTATCCAGGCAGTTGGAGTGCCTCGCTGACGTGTCACAAACATAGGGCCTACAGCCACGATCTGATGAGGCACAGAGCAAGAGCACCCCGTTGTGAGGGCTTTCCAGGCAGATGCAGCAGCGAGTTACTTCCCACAGCTCTGTCTCATCCAGGCCTATTGCGTCAGCCTTTCCGCCCACGCTTCCTGCCGTATCCTCAACATCTGACTTTGACCTCTTGGCATATGGCGTGCTGAGAGAACTGTGAGAGGCCCGTGATCGAGTCCTAGGCGTCTTCGGCATCGTTGCAGCATGCAGGAGTTTTCTCCAAACTTGAGCGCCCGCAGAAAACAACTCCTATTTCTTGATGTGTGAAAAGGCGGTTTTACAAGCCTTATAGAAGGAAATAATCTCTGAAGTAAAATCCTAGCCGCACGCAGCTGGAGACACCCTGCTCAAAGATCGCCTGACAGCTTTCTGATGTGGTTTCTGAGCAGCGCCTATTCAGACAGTCGGACCGCTCAAACCAACAAGAAAGCGCACTATCGTAGGTCGCTGCTAACTTTGAATCTTGCCCAAGGCTACCGAGAAAATGCCAGGGCTGCCAGTGCCAATTTCCAAAGCTTCCCGTCCCATTTGCCAAGTCTAGGCCATAGCTGCTAGCTCTAGGTCCTACTGCATCCATCTTGATTCTTCAGACTCCCCTGAAACTTGCGCGGTTGAAAGCGGATCGAGCCGTCCAGAGTGCCTCAAGTTCTATTTTGTGCCGTCCGATATAGATAGGCGCGCGCATAGTACTATCGCGTGTACCGGTAGCGACCGGACGAGAATTCAAGTCGAAAATCCAAGGCAGGCTCGGACCGGGGCAGGCCGACGGGGGCAGGACCCGCGGGCCGGGGCTAGGACTCTTTGACGCATATGCGCCTCCCGCCGCCGCAGCTCACTCATGCGTAGCATGGCGTGGACGGTTGCCACAGCGCCTACGTTTATCGCTACTATCATGAAAGGCAATCAAAATGATTAAAAGTTGGTGCTTTATGCACGAATGCAATCCTTGCGTTTGCTGTGGTCGAATTGCAGCCGGACTTGCATCTCGATGACCGTCAGAATGCGTTTTTGGGCCGGCCAGGCTTGTGTATCACCAAAAACTGCTAGCTAAAGGTTCCATATTCTTATTGCATGCAAATTGTCTATTGGTCTTCTTTTGTCTCAAATCCATTAGTCTGGACTAAACGAACTAGGGCATGAACCCAGGCGACCCTAACTTGCTAAAGGTATTTGGATGGAGTCAAGTGGCAAAGCTCGCCACCTTGCTCGACTGTGCAAGGATAGGTTGCAAGTCGCAGAATAATTTATTACGAGACACTACAGTAGTCCTAGTCAACTCTACAAAATTGGAAACCTATAAGAGCGAAGGGTCCACTTTTGCGGCCCGGTTAGACGGTCCTCTAACGAGCACGTAATTACTCAACGGCGATATGTCGGCGCGCTATCTTGTCTACTGTAACCCGGCACTGCATCTTCCCCGTTACGCCCCGGTTGTGCGGATGCCGGTGGGCAGGCTGGTGGAGGCGTTCCGGATGCTGAACCCCGGGTATGTCAGGTTCTGGATGTAGGCGTACTTGTCGGCGCGCAGCGTCTGCATGTCGTCCGCGAGGAGGCCGCCCGTGTCCTCGGACGTCGGGTCCCACGACCACCACGTCCAGGGCAGGCTCTTGTTCTGGATGTACCGCACCAGCTCGCCCAGCCACAGTTGCTGCACAGCGCCGCACCGAGAACCCTCATTACGCACAGCCCAGACAGGAGAAGCACCGACGCTTGTGTATCAGCCAGAGCCCGCGGGACGGAATGACTTATACGAAGTATACCGGTGCCTTCTCGTAGTACTCACTTTGGTTCCGCGTCACTTTCATCATGCGCCAAACGCGGCCTGCACAGCCTGGCGCGTGGCACTGGGGCGCTTGGCACTGGGGCGCAAGAGCAAGGAGCAGGAACCATACGAACTCCCTGATGCAGGCACTTTTGGGACAATCTGAGAACGGGAGGGGCGAACGCGATTGCGCAGCGCACGGAAACCCACCTCTTGCCTGAAGACGACCGCGCACCGGTCGCTGGTGCAGTATGGGTCGAACTTGGCCCCGAACTCGCCGACCCAGACGGGAGTGATGTTACGGTCCCAAAGGAAGCCCCACATGCGATCCCACTGCGCCGGCAGGTTGGACGGGAAGTCGGGCGCGTTGTAGTACGACTGCGGGCACAAGCCAAACGAGCACGGTCAGCAAGAGGCGCATGCAATGTCGAACATGGCCGGTCACAACAAAGAGAGCGTTTGCGGCCCAATGCAGACGGCACACCTGGAAAAAGGCACGCAAGCGCAGAGAAGGTGGTGCATCGTGGTTCCAAATCCTGGGACAATGTTGACAGCCAAAAACGACTGTTCCAGGCAGACGCATTGTCAAGCCGACGCAAAAAGAGGTCAATCCTGGACTGCCAGCTGGCATCGCTTTGCCATCTTTGAATGCCGAGACAGCAGCGCAGCGGCGCACCTGGTTGAAGGTGGATGGCCCCAGGTCGTGCGTCTGGAAGATGAGCTTGTTGGGGACGGTCAGGTTGAGCGGCGCGTCCAGCTGGCCCAAAAAGACACCGCCCCACAGGCCGTACTGGCCGCGGTATAAGTCCAGGCCTTGCACCGCGATCAGCAGGTTGGGGTTCACCTTGTGGATCGCGTTGGCGCACCTGCGGACACACGGCAATGGATGTTTTGGCTCGCTGGTCAACACCACGACCTCCGACGCTCCGTGTTCTTTCATCGAGCGTTGTCGACATTGAGCAAATGTTGTTCTCGAACCCATGGTTCCTGCATTGGAGGCACAAGGTACCATGCAACTGGTACGAACTGAACAGCACGGCTCTGACCTCATGACAATCGACCATATGTCCCCTGTCTCCTTCGACTCTTTTGGACCGTGTCCCCCAGAACAAGCAAGCACATCTCGGCGCATCCTGCCGTGTCTCACCTGATTGCGGACGTCCTCCAGTTGATGGTCGCGTTGACGCCGTCCGGCGCCCACTCGGGCCCCAGGTGGCCGGGCGGCTTGGCCTCGTCGTGATGGGGCTCGTTGAACAGGTCCACCTGCAGCAAGCCAGCACATGTCAACAACTAGAAGGCGGTAGGATCAGATCAGGTCGAAGCAGACTCCGGCCCCTAAAACATCGACCGCTGACTAGGGCTCCAAGCTGGCTGACCTTGGAAGCTGATATCGACACAGGCGTGCAATCGAAACACCAGATACTTCCGTTACATAACATGGCCGCAAGCCGGCCGAAACGCTTGGCACCGATTTTGTCGAGCACCGATGTTATCGACGTCAAACACACCACATGCGACGGAACCATCATGCGCCGGGCAACTGTGTGCCGGCAGGCGGCCATGAACAGGCGTGAGGGCCATGAACAACCTAGCGCACCAAATCCGTGTTGCCGGCTCACCCCCACAACAGTGGAGTCGTTGTTGTAGCGGTCAACCAGGAAGAGCCAGTTGTTGATCCACTGCGTCTCGGACGTGTTGGCGTCGTACCAGAGGCCCCACTCGTGCTCATAGCCTGCGTTCAGGCGGTGGTAGTCCAGGAACACCTTCATGCCGCGGGCACCCGCGCCCCGCACGATCACGTCCATGATTTGGAGGGAAGTCAGGTTCTGCAACATCGACGACAGGTTCAGTGGGCAGCTCGGAGCACGGATGAAGAGGGGAAGGGATGTGGCTGATTTATAGAGAATGAAGTCGACCCTGGTTAGCCAACCAGCAACGCGCAATTGGAGGTTAATCCTTCCAACCTAAAGCAGATCCGACACAGCATTGCTACAGCAAGAGTTAACGAGTCTTCCACCAGATGATTCGCTCAAAAACGTTGGCTAAAGTCAGGGCGAAAAGGCACTTTCTTATTCCTTTTGCAGCTCATCGCAATTATGTGGCCTACTTTTTTCACCTTGAGAACGCACTGTCCTTATAGGAACGAGACTCTTGATTCTGGGGACTCCATGGCTTCCACTCAAGATACCGGAAAAATAGTTCCAACAAAAAGCTTTGTTTAGCTATGGTTTTGATGCACGAAGAAAATGCGCGGCGACCGCCAGTTTCCTGAGCCCTTCCTGTCACGGTGGACTTTTACAAGGGAACAATATTAATGACCTCCATGCCAAGACAGCCCCCAAATACACCTTTCTGCAGCAACAGCTTTCCTAAAATGTGCAAGCCCTACCACATGTTTCCTGCCAGCTTGAGACAAGCAGCCCAGACGATAACGTCAGGCGAGACCGAGCAGTGTGAAAACGCCGCGTCCTCAACATTGCTTAGGTCCATGAGAAGGAGATTCGAACTTCGTCGACGATCTCCATCCTTCCCCCAAAGGCGCTCACCCTGAGATCTGGGTTGGCGTAGTAGTTGATGTTCTGGGGCATGTACCCCCCCGCCAGGATGCTCCCAGAGAAGGGCAGCCGCAGTACGTTGAGGCCGAGGCCAATCATCTGGTCGAGCATGGACTGCCACGAGCGCGCCCACAGCCCGTGGGGGGCGCCGTCGATGTTCTCCAGCCCGTTCCAGCTCACGCCGGAGAAAAACACCTGCAGGCAGGACACTTAGGCGTTGCTTACGAGGGCCATCATACGTTGCGAAGCGCTCCGAGCGCCATCCTGTTGACCCTGCCCGCCACCACTGGGCACCGCCCCATCGCCAAAAAGGGGACTGCGCTTTGGTGTAGCGGTGCAAAATAGTTCTTAAAAAGGAGATCTCCGAAAATACTCTGTTTGAGAAACCGCTTTTGGAGTGAGCAGCCATTTCGTTCAAGGGGCTCTACTAGACTTTGTGGAAGGGACCGAGGTGTGACTCAACTATGCTGGCACACAACCGTGAAAACTCTGTCCCCCAAAAAGTGTGAACGTGTGAAATTGGACTCTCCGAGCTTCCTCACTGAAAGCCCTGCAGCGGACCGTAAAGCAAAAGAGACCTTTGCATTTGACAAAGTGACCACCCAGCCTGCCGCTTTTGTGCAAAGAACCAGAGGACTTTTTTGACTATGTCAGCGGAGCACTGCCCCTGATGACAACATGAGCATCTCTCAAACCACCACCGCAGGAAATGCCTGTGTTTAAGTTTGGCAAGCGGTTAAGATTAGGCTGTTAATTTAAGTTGGGGCTGTGCCCCTGGTGCAGCGGCGCCACACCTCGTCTCCGTACTGGTCGACCAGCGCCCTGCCGTGCGCAGTCCACCAGCCGTCACCTCTGGCAGGCAGCCGGGTAAACTTTCTTCCTAGAACAACATGGGCCAGCCAGTCTGCCTTTTCATGGATCGCGCAGTTCGAGCAGAGAGACAAAAGCAGGAGCGGCCAGCAGAAGGCGAGAAAACACAGAAGCTTGATGAGGCGCCCAGGCCTACTACGATGGCCATGAACTTTCTCCTCCTCCTCGTCAAAGAAGGGGGAATGTGGGTCCACGTCACTTATAGGGACGGCGGTAAAACCCCTCATCTCAGAAAAGGAACCACGCGGACCTTCCAAAAAAAGTCAGAGAAAAGCGGCTGACAGTGTCGTACTTTCTCCAGACTCCAGACTTTTCACAAGACCCTTACAGTAGTGTCGCGAAGGACGGCATATCTTGTCAGAAATGCAAGGCATACCAAGCGCACACTTGCAGTATGCCCAGAGTGTTTTCAGATTTCCTTGCAAAGCAAGTTGCCACTTGCAGACAAGTTGCCACCACAAAAGGTGGTGTAGAAATCTTGCTCTGAGATGACTAGGAACCCAAGATCTACACCCTTCATACCCACACCCATAAGTGCAACAGCCAAGACACAAGGACATCAGACATACACTTCAAAGGTAAAATGAGAAGTCTGGTAGCCTCAAGTGGCCAATTTAAAGTTCCACAAGAGATTCCCCAGTTCAGACTTGCTCTGTGGGTGGCTCTGTGGGTCACTGTACTTCCCTTGCAACCTCGTAAACGTCGAACTTCTCTGCTTTCCGAGGTCGCACCTGGTATGTCCAACAAAGGCTCACCATCAAAAATGTGAAGTTCAAGGACAAAACAAGGCCCTCACCTCCTTTCCATAGAAGTCCAAGATCTGCCTGCCTCTTGTGCTCCAGTAACCTGTGACACTGGCGTTGGGCCCAATCGCGGTCCCAACCACAGTCACACTGGTGGTGTTCACATCGTAGGTGCTGTTCAACACGTAGATGTCGTTTACTGCTAGGAACCGGCGGACACTTTCTTGTAGGCTTCTGCGACCTAGGAGCTGCGGCTGCTCCTCGGACGCCAGCAGTTGGGAGCCAACGAGGCCCACAAGCAACAAGACGATGACGAGGGAACCGGACGCTCGGGCCCAGTTAGTACCCGACTCCGCCATGATGGTGGCTACGGGTTGCCTGAGCGCAATGCTGAGCTGCGCCTGTTCAATGCTGCAATTTGTAGAATCTGCTTCCGAAGTTGGTGCCAAATGAGCCTGCGCAAGTGCAAGACGACAGGTTCGGATTCCGCAGCAGCAGATCTCAAGCTGCGGCCTGGTAGGTTCTACCGACCACTTCTTCAGAACGGACTCATCTGGTGCTATCATCTACCGTCGATCCTTGATCAAAACGCTTACAAAGCCGTCCGATTTGACGAGACCATGCACGTGCAATTTGCTGGGACCGTTAGACTGGAGCCGTTGTCTAGACTCCAGAGCCCTGTAGTGGCGACCTAAATACCTTAGTGTATAGGACAAGGTAAAGTAGGTACACGGTCGTACACCGTACCTAGCTGCCTACCGGCTAGCCTGGAAAATCTGGGAGGCCGAGGACTTGGACTACGGTATGGCTCGGAGGCTCGCCCCGGGGCTCCAATCCCCTAGCCCGATTGTGCCTCTCGCGATCGGATCGTGCTCACTTGGACGGCTACGATTGGCAGACCCAGGTTCATGACCGGCATGAACCTTCTTTGCCGGGTTGACGTCAGCCATCTGTCCAGTGAGTCGTGACTACCTTCGACTTGAATCCTTGAATGACGATGATATATCATGATATGAATGGATTTACTGATTTACGGCATTCTGAACGCACCTTATTAGTATGAGATTAGTCTACTGCCAATGAACACTGAGATCTGAATTCAAGGCGACCTTGCAAGCCGACTAAGTCTTAAGCTCAATCCTTTCGCGTCGCATTTGGTGGGGGCGTCTACCCCATGTGGTTCGCAGCAACATCTACGTAACGCGGGCATTGACTGCCCGTCAAGCTGAGCAATCTGCCACCCCATGTGGCTTTTGTATAAGCGACCGTGAGTCAAAGGTTGAATCCGGGCGTATGATCACTTTCTCACGATGTCCTCCTTAAGTGTCTGCAGTGCGTCTGTGACACATTTTGAAGAGTCGGTGGTCAGAGCCTTGAGTCCTCGTGCTCATACTCATACAATCCTCTTCGTATTAGTCATGCTTCTTTTATCATTTTCCTAGTCCACTATTGATATTTCAGTCGTGTTCACATGCGAATGACAAGGATAGCCTTCACTCATCACCGATGATCTTAAAGTGCTGAACCTGATGAGTGGATTTTAGCTCTGAAACAGGGGGCGCAAACCAGCCATACGATGGCTAATATCCCCAAGCATGCAACCGACCATAATTCATCAACACGAAGGTTAAATGCTTGGCCACCACCTTATGAGGATGCAAAAGATACCAGGCTCGGTATGCTTACGAGGTATGCATCCGACCGCACCACGTATACTAGAGCACAAGGGAACTCTTTCGACCCCTCCCGTTGAATAACCTTGCACGTTGAGTTATTTTGGGCCTTGTTCCGTTTCAATTCATCAAAAGCAGGCCTCGGTTGAAGCAGTATGACGTCAGTTTACAGTACGTGGAATGCTGGCGGGCTACCTCTGTACAAGGTTTCTAAGCCTAATCCTCATACACCCGGCACTCGTCGCTGTCAGGGCTGGATGCGCAGAAAGCCTCCAGAGGATCGACGAATCCAACGGGCGTCTTGAAACCAGGCCACTTTGATGCTACCACATGGGCGAGGTCAACCACCCTTTGTGAGTAGCCTGCAAGGTAGCAAACATACAAGAGATGAACAACAAGCCTCGTTATCGAGGTAACCTTCAGATCTAGAAGCACGAAAGACAACACTCGATTGTTGGGAATCATACAAGGATCCTTTCAGTAGTATCGACTTTTCAGCACAGAATTGAGGAGAGACTCTGATCGCAATGTCCCATGAAAGAAGAAAGCATTTGACAGTTTCTCATGAAGGACGATCCGCGAGGTGAGGATGCAGACAGGCAGCTGATAGATGACAGCGGAAAGAAGCACCGTGGTGGTTGCCTTCCTCACCCCACTCGTTGTCGTACCACGCCACCACCTTCAACATGTCCTCCCCGACGACCATGGTCAAGCTCGAGTCGACCGTGGATGAGACGTCGGTTGCCCGGAAATCCATGGACACCAGCGGGAGGTCGGACACAGCCAGCACGCCCCGCGACGGGCCTTCCGCAGCATCCCTGAAGGCCTGGTTGACCTGCATACCGTTGAGACGAGATAAGCCAAAGACGTGACATGTCATCGGGGCTGTGGTCGACGAAACAGAGCATCACTGGCCTTGAACAATATCCCTGAGAAGAGCGAGATTGTGAGCAGCGACAACGACAGCGAAAGAACCGCGCAATTCACGACCTCAAGCGTGAGCCCTATTGTTTGACCAGAAATTGTTACGGCTCACCTCCTCAGCAGTGATGTTCTTCTTCACAGTGTTGACGACCAGGTCCACAACGGACACGTTGGGCGTCGGCACCCGCAGGGCAATCCCGTTCAGCTTGCCCTTGAGCTGGGGCAGGACCAAGGCGACAGCCTTCGCAGCGCCGGTGGTGCTGGAGGGAGACGAACAGAAACATCGGTGATTTTCAGAACGTCTTCGAGTATATGAGCATAAAAAAGTTTCATCGGTGTAAATGCACAGGTTGTAGCTTGTGAATTGACCCTTTGTTTGTCAGCTGCATAGACTCAAGAACATGGAGATGAGATTTTTCGATCGACCTTCTTGTGCTCGCTTGGAAAGAAAGTGACACCAGCCAGACCTGTGCAATGTCTTGCTTCACATGGCTGAGATCTGAAGGAAGCTTTACTGTTCTGCATGTAAAGTTTCCGGCTCACGGTGGTTCAAGTCACACTAGAAGTGGGTACGAGAGTTTTGAGTTCAGATCAAAGGGATGTGCACCAACTCCGATTCGATCTGAAGCCCGAAGCTTTTCAAGCACGATTCACAGCGTGCACTTCAGGCAGAAGGTCCTCTTGAGTTAGTTGCCTCGATCAACCTCATACCGCCCTTTACAAGTCCCTTGAATTTACCAGCCACTACTAAGGCTCGATATCGAAGGGGATGCCAGGACCGACTTCGACCAGAGTTTGGACTTACGTGGGGACAATGTTGAGGGCAGCAGCACGGGCCCTCCTCAGATCGCGGTGGGAGGCGTCCAGCAGCCTCTGCACAACGACGGGGAAAAAGGCGGGCTTCTTCTTGTGTTCGCTGTCAAAGATTGCGGTTCTTATGTTTCTTTGGAGAAAAGATTGTCGTGGCACTGTGCTATCTTCACAACTATATATTGCTACTTCAAATTCTCTATTACTCTTCACAACTCCTTTGCCAGACCATGCACTCCCCACTTTGATGAGTACTCTAGTATTCTTTACGACGTCCTCGCCAGACTGGTGTGAACAGTCAGGGACTGAATGCAGACTGCACTTGTTAGATGAAGCCCGACTGAGCACACCCCAAAGAGCATGGGAAAAAAGCTGATGCACGCACCTGATCGCCCGTGTAAGAATGCGTGGTCGTCATGGTTCCGTGTACGATGCTGCAAGGTGAAGTGAGGGATCAGGGTCTTCAGATGTTGCGCAGAGTCAGCTTCTGCTGATGTTTGCGAGTTGGATAAAAGTTGGTAATGTCACAGCGAGGATTCCTAGGCATTCCTCTTCAACAGTTGAGTACCAGCTCTGATGTTATACTGGTAACAATACATGTTAACGTGAGACAAAGAAGGAATTGTAGGCAAAATGAGTCAAGTATTAGAGAAGGAATGCAACTGTGAACAGGTCTTATACATAGAACTGCGAATGAAAGAGTGTACCAAGACCATCGGTAGGTAGAGGTGCATTTGCGCATAATGTTCTAAGAACTTTGGCCTGATCGCCCCTACCAAAAGGATTATGCTCATGAGCAGCCGTATTTGAAGAGCGCTGGGAACGGCACGAGAGGCTTACCCAAAGCTCTCATCGAGGACCTTCACGAAAGGAGCAAGGCAGTTGGTGGTGCAGGAAGCGTTGCTGCGTCAGAGACAAAAAGGACGAAGTCAGTGCAGTTGGGGGATCATCAATAGATGGTCCGCAGCTATTCCTGCGCTCAGTCTCGTGAAGGACAGCCGATTCTGTTTGGTTCCCTTGAAATCCAGCATCGGAACTGTCTTCAACGTAAAGCCTCTGGTCCTAACATTGCAGGCCCACCTGTTTTCAGTCTTTGTCAAACGCAAGGAGCCAGGTAACAATCAAGCCATCGAAAGGAGCTGTTTCAAGCTGGGTTTTCTCACCTGATGATGTCGCTGACCTCATGGTAATAGTCTTGGGCGTTCACACCGACCACATAGGTGGGGATATCAGCGCCCTTGGCGGGGGCGGTGATGATCACCTTCTTGGCACCGGCCTGCAAGTGCTTGCCAGCCCCCGGGCCATCAACGAACACACCGGTTCCCTGGATCAAAATAACCACACGTCAGCCTGGCAATCCTTTAGAAAAGCCTGTCTCAGGGCAGGGACTGCAACATAGCACTAACGTTCCTGCAACCTGGCCTTGGCCAAAGGGTAGAGCCTCAGGTCCTCACCTCAATGACGATGTCAATCCCCAGCTCCGCCCACGGGAGCTTGAGGGGGTCGCGGCTGCTGACAATCTGGATGTTCTTGCCATCCACGCTGAGCGTGCTGTCGTCCACAACCTTGACATCCGCGTTGAATGTCCCCAGGATGCTGTCGTACTTCAGCAGGTGAGTAGCCTGCGATGTTGTAGATGCTGATTTCAGTCAGAGTTGTGCATTTTGCAAACCCTAAAAGGTTTGCGAGAAGCAGAGTGATTACAAAGTGACAGTTTCCTTCTCGTTGTTGGCTGCACCAGAGTTTCCAAATGATGCTCTTTAAGCTCGCCCACCTGCTTCACACCTCCGCTGTCGTTGATGACGACCACCTCGATGGGAGAGTTCTCGCGTCCGTGCCAGCAGCGGAGGAAGTTCCGGCCAATGCGCCCAAACCTGGTAAGAGCAAAATCTTATGACAAGCTCTTCACATAAAGTTCATGTTTACCTGGTCCAGCATTTAGCCCCAGCAAAATGTACCTTCCTTTCACAATGTCCATGGCTGCATTCGGACGCGACCGTTGTTGACCCTTGTCTACTCTATTGTCTCGGTTGTAAGTGCGTTATGAATGTGCAACTACCCCTCAGATTTAACACCTATCCTTCTCTAAGTTTTGCAAAAGTACTCCGAAAACTCTCTACTACCAAAGAGAGTGCTTTTGCACAGTGGAATCGACAAGTCTATTTCACAACTTTCTGCATTCCGTTGCATGACCGCAGGTAGGCTTACCCGTTGATAGCAACCTTCAGCTTCTCCTGGGCAACGATCTCCCCCTTTCTGGCGCCAGCAGACACCGCCTGCCCAGTCAGAGAAACGGGTGTGAGCGAGCCCACTCTGTTGAATGCGGCCTTACAAATGCACTGTATGCTCACAAGGTTTGAGTTCCGCGGTCGTGCATTTGACTCTGATGCGAGGTACACAGCAGGCTGGTGCACCCGCACCAGTGTGTCTGCCTGTTCTCTACGACCCAGCTAGCCCTCTACGGTGTAGAAGCATGTATCTCAATATGGTCTCAAAGAAGGGAGTCAATGTAGGGAGTATGTTTGCTGGATCTTGCCAAGTTTCTTTCTACCCAGAGGGACAATCGACCCATACGGCTCATCCACATCCACCCCAACCAAGCCTTGAATCCTCTAGGATTCGTGACTTACCGGCCGTGAAGCTTGGACCGCAACAGCTGAGAAGAAGGAAGAGCTTGCATCGCGGCTGTGGGCCACCGTGTAAGGCTTTGCAGCTGAAGACTTCAGCCCGTTGAAGGAAGCCAAGCTCTTCTGAGCACTGGCCTGCACAGGTTCAACAGATCTCAGATGCATTACGTGACCGAGCTTATGCTCAAATCTGCTTGCACTTTGAGTGCCAATCGAGCTTCAGGTATGCATTAGCCACATTTTCCAACTGCAGATCCCCTGGCGTGCACCCCGTAGAACTGGGGCTCTTCTCACACATTGCCCACTCAATGTGGTGCTCATCCATTGCATTATGCCAAAAACTTGATTTGCAGTGCATCAAGAGGTAAATCTCGCTTAGAGCCCAGCCAACCAATCATACTTTGGAGCACCTCGCCGGAATATGTGACGATGCTCCAGCCGACACATTGACTGCACTTGAGCGCAAACCTGCTGGATATGGTGCACCCGTGGTGCAGCCGATCAGAATGCGAAGGGATCCCGGCGGCAACAGCTTACCCTGACTGGAATGCAGGTCGCACTGGCTGTCCTGCTGCCAGATGCGCTGTGCTGCTTGGACAGAATGCCGGCGGACCTGACCGCCGAGAAGGACGCAGCACTCGTGGAAGCAGCCATGGTAGCTTCGAGTATGGATCTACAGCTGCCCTAGCCGTCTTTTCAAGGATGTCCTGTTCAACCCTCTCGATTGAATGCAACGCCTGCAATGCAGCGCAAACGCTTCGCTGCAGCAAGGAGCTTGGTGCTGGAGCGCTTGGAGAAGCAATCGGCACGAGTCATCCTGACGTTCAGAGGAAGAAGTCGCAGTGTGCTCGACTGGAGTCTGACAGATATCAAGTCCGGCAACTTGACGTGACCGTCGATTAAGATTTTTGGATCACTTTTCTAACAGCTTGTGGCCGTCCAAACCCGCATGCGATCTTGGCCCTTCATCTTTGGAGCTTCTGACCCACCAATTTGTCCACGTGGAGCAGGTTCATACGCTTTTCCAATCTGCAGCGTTCTTATTGGCTTCCGACGTGATTCTACCGAAACAACCGCCATGCTGGGTGTTTTGAATCAAAATTGTGAGATCAATTTCGGCCAACAGACGATTCCGTTCAATCACCAAAGACTGTCCTAGCTACTGAGGCCAAGGTACCTACCTAATGTAGTACCTAATCGTCTCTCAAACTATCGTATAGGTAGCTCTGTAGTTGTCCAATCCAGCGGCGGTGGACAGTATGTGGTGCACTCCGACCCCGTGCACTCGAGTCCGAAAATCCTTCCGAGTCTCTGCAGCCCACAGTCGCTTCCATACTTCAGGCATGAGCAATAGATATGCATGACCTGGAGACCTTTCAACAATCGAAACAACGGCCATGGCGGCACGGTAACATAAAACATATATGGTGGTCAGCGGCATGCATATGCACTGTCACCCAATGCGAACGTGATGCTGTAAGTCTGTCATCTAGACGACATGTTCTAGTTGCATGCAAGGTGCGCGCAAGACACTAAGCCAAACAAGTGCATCCGATGCGTCATGGCGCCAATTTGTTACATCAATCCAAGATGCCTGGCTCATGTGATCCAAGAACATCTAATACACAGTTACTACTTGAAGTATAGTAGTGTGGCTCAGGGCAACAATGAACAGAACGTCTTGGTATCTTCTTGACAGTACACTCTTCGAAAATTCAAGAACTAGGATGTAGTATAAGCAACAGACTCTGTGCGAGCCTGGTTGAGAGTGAGCAAAAGCCCAATGATCAGCCTTCGCTGACCGTTAACTTTTTAAGATGTGCATTAAGTGTTTTCTGGGCCTTATGGCTAGTGCACCGCCGACTCTTACTTGATTGTCATTACCTGACGGCCTCTCCATACCTGTGAGGTCTTTACGGTGTCGAAAGTGCTATTCCTTCCGTCCTATATGGCTATAGAACTTACAAGGATATTTGAGCCTAAGAAACCTTTGGTTTATTGGCGACGACTTTCGACCTATTCCTCCGCGATGCCCTCCCAACCGAGCTTTTCAATCCCAGGAAGAACAACAGAGCCCCCGTCAAGGAAAGATTCTGCAAAGAGCGGAGACAACATTGAACGATGTGAAAGATAGGCATGCTCACAATGAAAAGCGTTTTGAAAACAAGGGTTTGAATGCAACAGGGAGGTTATTTTGGCACGAGCCGAATAGACTGAAGATTAATGCTTCGTGAGCTCAAAGCATCCTTACAAGGAGTCCCAGCTCGAAGAGGAAACTGATGTTGCGAACAACCAACCTTCATGAACTGAATCAGTTCGATTGTCTGTTCAGTGCTCCCAACATCTTGATTGTAGAAGTCGTGCATGATGGGTGTCACCGAAACGAGGAAGAGCAGCTGCAATAGCTTGACACGCAGGTTAGCAGCAATCTGGCTCTTATCAGCACACTCAATCCGACATTGCTGGTCACAAAGGAATTGTTTGACCTAGTGGCGAGCAGATAGTCAATTGCTTAGTCAGACGTTTGGGGCTCGTTGCAATAACATTTTAAAAGCTCCACCAAGGTAGCTATTCGGAGCGGAAGCCTTGACTGTCGACCACATAGATATTCAGGCGGGCATGCGTGCTGGTTTCCTTTCAAAACCCGTTCAACAGCCTCATGCTGATGTACAGCTCAGCTAATAGACTGATAGTACTGGGGCTCCTGTAATCACTTTCTGTAGCGCCTCCATCACTTTCTTGAGCATGTGGGCACAAGACCAATCCCAGCTTTTCCCAGTTGTTATGTTACTCGGTGCCCCTTTAGCTGGTCAATGACGTTCAGCCCAGAGCCTGTTGAATTGCATCAGCAAGTAAAGTGCCTCTACCTTGTCACCTTTGCTGCAAAGTTTCCGCAGCTAATAAGTGATGGACAGGAAGCATTGGAGCCATTGTTTCGCCCTTGGCCAACTCACCAGAAGCCATGCGCCGAGGCTGCTACCAAACCAGAAAAGAAGGCCCCCAAAGAACTCCAGACCTATTGCAATCGCCAGCAGATACTTCGCCTGCATTCCAGGGTAAATGAAACACTTTGAATATGGATCTCAGGTATGAAGCTCACTTTGACAAGAAGGCTGCTCCAGGCTGAGTGGCTAGAAAGGTAAGTGCATCAGCAAAAGGTACTTATAGATTGCATCTCCTTCTTTCAGACTTGGTGCACAAACATCCCCGTCACAGATCATTACAACTTAAAGGATCTCTGAATTGGCACCCATTTGAGCACATTTCATTTGTTGCAGTCACCATACCTCAATCACAGGGAGCGCAACATGCAGATTTGACTGCACATGTGCATAGAAAGCATCAAGCTTCGGCCTCATCAACTCTGCAGCTTTCCCACCGTCGGCGCCATATTCTGATGCCCTGATAGAAGACAAGAAAGGAAACAGCATTTGTTCAGTCCCAGAAAGCACTGTTGCTCCGGCACCTGTTGCGATGTGAGCTCCTTATAAATCTGTCATGAAGATTGCCAGACAATTTGCTTGTTGCCAAGCTTACACGGGTGACAAATGCATAACAAACCGCTTCCAATGCAATTTGCGACTCGCATCAAGGCAATAGATGGGCACAGAGTGGCATGCTGGACACCTATATATGCAAGCCTGCAAAATTATGAATTCACTGAAATTGTACGACTAAAGCGTAACAACCAGCACACAATCTGACCAACACAAAATGCAACAGTTTGCAATGATGTATGATGGTACACGAATCAGCTTTCTGCTATTTCTGATGCCACCTGACAGAAGCTATCAGCGCACACACGATCAGGACCGGCCCATATTGAGGTCATGCCAGACCATACTGAATGCTTAAAAGTCAAAGGCCTAAAGATTGATCTTTCGTTGTTTGGTACTTGCATATTGCTCTTCCATCAGGGGATGCAACGACTCTTTGGCACGTTTCATAAGGAGAAGAAGAATTCCTTACTTTTGGACAGCAGCCACTAGGAAAATAGCCACAAACAACGTTCTTCCCACGAAGGAGAGGAAGGCCATGATGCTCCTCCTTGCTGATCATGCGCCTGTTTCCGACAATTGGTCTTCACCACTGCCACTGCACTGCAGTGTGTGCTGCACTGATAAGGACAAAGACTTCACAAGATTGATTAGGTGAGCTCATTTGTGAACCTTCTTTACGCTTTTTCGATCGTCCGATCGGCAGATTTCCTGGATCGAACGGATCGTCTTGCATCGAGCAGTAAGGAAAGCCTTGAAGGGCGTCGACCCCGGTATGGGGGCCTAATCGAGAACAAGCTGGACATGGCAAATCATGGGGGCAAAAAGTGGCATGGCTGATGATCATCATGATGGCATGGCCCATGTTAAAGCTAGGCCCTGGGGCGTACCTCAGCTGATCATATTTCTGTATACTCATAATACTGATTTTAAGCATTGAGCACCAATGGCGGGTCCTGCGTCCGATGAAGTGGAGGAATTCCTTGCATCCTTAGCGGATTACGTGCCAACCATTCCTGACGAGCTCACCGGGCACTATTTGCAGCGGAGTGGCTTCCAGTGTCCAGATGAGAGAATGACCCGCCTGGTGTCGGTTGCTGCTCAAAAGTTCATTGGGGACATTGTCAATGATGCGCTGCAGTACTGCAAGATTCGTATGCAGGTAAGCTATGTTCTAAAAACATCCTTCACACATGAATACAATCTTGATCCATTTCAACAGTGGGCCTAGTTTCGAATCTTTATGAGCATCACTATTTTGCAGTAAAAGAATGGGGAACGCAATACACAATGCTGAACATGCTGCAAGCTATTGTGCGCGCTTTCACTGCATAATCTCCCTCTCGGTACAAATGTAGACGGTTTCCAGATAGGACATTTTGCGAGCAAGGTGTTTTGTCTTGGCTTGGCAGCGTGAGTGTTGTATCATAGTGCCACTCTCCAAACAAGAAACAGTGGTGCATATTCGGGTTTATTTTGTTGCAGGCTGCCAGCAAAGACAAGAAAGAGAGGGGATCAAAGCAGCTCGTCTTGACCACCGAAGATCTTGCCGCGGCTCTGAAAGAGTACGGAGTCAACATCAGCAAGCAGGAGTACTACGCTGATTCGCCCCAAGCTGGCACCACTGTCACTACCAAGGACAAAACAAAGTAGCCAGCACAGTTGAGAAAGCAGAGGGGCAGTACTTTTGAAGCCCGTCAGCTTTCATTAAGTAATAGGGGCTTTACATATCAAAGAGCAGCGCATCAAGCATTGATGGCCATAGTTTTGTGAATCATTCCGGTTTTGGGTGCACATCGGTAGCTGTTCCAGCGGTCATACATGATGGATCTCAGCGCCCTCGCAGAAGCACTACCACCGCTGGATCAAGGTGATGTGACCTTAGTTGTTTGTGAGGGTCCCGATGGTTTCCCGGAGAAGCTGCTGGGAACAGAGGGGGAAAACGCACAGGGGTCAATCAGAGAACAGGCCAGTGACGGTGGCTTTGGAGAATCGCCAAAGGGGGCCGGAGGACATGCAACAAAATTCCTGGCACATAAGAGCGTTTTGCTTTCATCTTCTGACTATTTCAAGTCCTTGTTCTCAAATTTCAAGGAGGCGACCCAAGAGACTGTCACAGTGCATTGGGATGCGACCATCTTTGCCAAGGTCCTGGGCTTCCTTTATGGCAAGGAACTGAACATCGAGCCCAATGACATCCTGCCCCTGATACAGGTGAGCACGTCTGGGGTGAATCTTACCACACTTCCACCGCTTCAATGTACCTGCTCTCTCTTGGCCCGCAACTACTGGATGAGAACTGCCTTCAGCTTTTGCATATCAGCTGACTACTCGATAAAACGTGATGTTCTCTGTAGTCTCTGTCTGGGTACTGCAACGAACTTCCATGCATTCCTGACAGCCCCTGACAGCGGCAACCATCTTTTGACTGAAAAGTCATGTCGATCTCTTTGCAGTCTGCTTACATGTTTGGCATCGAGAGCCTCCTGGGTCAGTGTCGCAACTGGATCTCCAGCTGCACCCCTCGGCCCGGTCAGGAAAGCGGGCCAGTGGTGGACCTCGAATCAGCGTGCGGCCTCTGGACAGCCGCCAAGGACGTGGCAAGAGATGCTGCAGCGGCGGACGCCGTGGCTGAGCTCTGCGTGGTGACCCTGGCAGTCTTCTTTGTGAGACCTCCGTTGTTCATCACATGCCCTTCATCTTGTCCACTAATCTGGTCCATCATGTGGACTTGATCTTCGAGCAAGTAAGAAAGGCCACAGCCTGCCAAGCATTGAGCTTTTCGCAGATTGTGTCTCTGAATACGTCCGAGCTGCCTGAGAAGATCCTTTCACCTCGAAAGCATGGCCTTCTCTTCCTGCCCAGCTTTGGGTCTGGTGTGATCTGACTGGAGGGTTCCCTGACGGTGTGCTATGCGGTGGCAGGAGGACGCCGTGGCCCAGCAGGCCCTCCGAGAGGCGCCGCTCGAGCTGCTCATGGCGGTCGTCAACAGCGAGCACCTCACAGTTCCCAGGTGAGGAGCAGTACTTCCTCGGCCTCTTTGCTGTGAGGGAAACCCCGGTCTCCAAGATCAAGGAATAGGTCGAAGATGTGGAGGCCGATGTGCAAGTAGAAATCGTCCAACTGTCCAGTCCTCAACGTCTGCGCAGCTTAAGGTAGTCCTATATGTCTTGGATTGATCACCAGAAGGTCTGCCCCTCGGAAGGATCTGCTATACGTGATGCACATGTCAGAAAGGAATTTGGTTGCCAGAATCTGACTATCTGCCCCTCTGTGCAGCGAAAAGGTAGTTTGCGAGGCGCTTCTGGACTGGGCAACGGACAAATGTGCAGATGTGTGGAGCTTGGCAGCCAAGGTAAGGCGACGCGCCGCAGATAATGAGCTTGTTGCCGCCTTTTTCCACTCAACGTTTGCCTGATCTTGTTTCGTTTGATTGGACCCGAAAATCCGAAAGCTAGGTTGATTGACTTGCAGACTTCGCCCTGTGGCTTGTAGCAGAGTCCCTTTTACGATTGGGCCTGAGTCTTTGTACTTTTTGCAGGTGGGACGAGCCAGAACTAGCACTCCAGCTCAGTCACCAGCAGGTCCGATGCTTCCTAGAAGAGATGATTCATGGTCCACAAGTATGCAACTGTCCATCAAAAGAGACTACTAAAGGCTGGATTCATCGTTATGCTTGGCTGGTTTTTCTTGGTGGTTCTGCTGAAGTGCCTGTCACATGCCCGCCATGTCGTTAGCATACTGGACTTAATGCATCTGCAATCTCAGACCGATTTGTGATTCTAATGCAGGAGATCCGGTGGGCCATGCTACCCCTCCCCTTCCGCCTAGGTACGTGCTCATGAAAACTCACATTTCCCTTTTCCATGGCCTAGATGACTTTGATCTCTCTCTTCGAGACACCTCGCACATTAGTGATGTTCTTGTGTGGAGGTTGCGGTGCACATACAGCCAATCTTTTAACCAGCTTCGTTACTTCGAGGAATTTTTCAGAGAAATTGGTGACAATCGTGCAACTCGTGATGACAGCATTCATGCGGATGCAGGGCTACGTCGCCGGAGCCCACCCCTGGGCAGTGTTCTTGACGCGGCCTTGCTTGCGGCCAGCCAGCCCCGCGCCTCCGCATCCTCGAAACGGCAGCCCACCCTTTCCAAAGACTTCCTGCCCCGGGTATCGGAGTTCCTCGAGGTAGGAATGATTTTGATGTGCTATTCATAGCGTTCTACGGTACAGGTCACGTCGGTCGTCAGGGTACGCCTGTCCATACTAGGGGGATGAAACTCGCCTCTCTCCGGGGACAGCTTTTTGGAGTCGCGCCACCAGTGTCCTGATTACTTCAGATTTTGACCATGTAGAGCCTTGTTTCTACTTTCGTGTGTTGCTTGTCTCGTGGATGCGACCGAGAGTAAGCTCATAGGTCCTAGAAAAAGAGCTGCCTCCTTGTGCAGTAAAAAACATGCCCCAGATTGCTTGCAGCTCGGACAACGATGCCGAGTCATCCTCTTCTGATGTCGCCCGTTCCTTGAATCTATCATCCGCACCTACCGTGCCTGACTCTTCCGTGCTTCTTCAGGGAACGAAGATGCGTCACCATCGCCTTCAGTCTTGGTCAAAGCCCCGCTACCCCATCCCCCTAGGTTTGAGGCTCCCCCTGGCATCGACTGAACCCGTCGGTCCCTTTTGTGCAGGGCCTGGACCTGCGCGGCTGCCAGCAATTCAACGAGGCGTCCTTCTTCTCCCTCTTCCGCCGCCCCTGCCCGCGCCTGACCCGCCTAGACCTCTCCGACTGCTGGCGCCTGCGCCACCACGCACTCCTGTTCGGTCTCGCCGACCTGCTCCCCAGTCTAGCCCACCTCACCGCCGTCAACTGCCCGCACCTGCCCTCCGCGTTCCTTCTGGGGGAAGGCCACCCCAACCTCCAGTCTCTCGACCTCTCTGTCTCGTCGGGACAGCCGAAGCGCCGGCCGTACGAGCCGTCGCCTGATTGGATGCTGCCCGGGTGGGCTCCCGACGAAGCCCCCACTCAGTTCGACGACATTTGGACCCCGCGGCCAGTGCGCAGGGCCCCAGCAAATAAGATCCTCGGTCCGGGGGGCTACTCGGATCCCGCGGTTCTTAGTCAGCGAGGCCTCGTGCAGCCCCGGTGCGCTTACCCCCGGCTGGTGGACATCGCGCTGCGCAAGCGCTCCGACGTGGGTGCCCCGCTGCTGCATCTGCTGGCCTCCACGTGTCCCAACCTGACCAGCCTGGACGTCTCGTGGTGCCCCGACGTGGCGGACGACAGCCTCGCAGCGCTTCTGCTCAAGCTGCCCCGCCTCACGGAACTGCGAGCGGCGGGGACGAAGTTCGGAAGGGAGTCCGCGGCAGCGCTGCTGGCGAGAGATGGGTGGACCCAGGGCACCGATGAACCGTCGAGAGGTTCCATAGAAGCAGCAGACGCAGCCGCCAGCGTGCGCGAAGGCACTGAACAGCCTGCCTCTACTTTTCCGTCTGGGAAGCCATGTGGTGAGAATGCGAACAGTGGCCCGTTGCTGGGAGCACGGGCGGAGCAGGGCGGCTTCGAGGCGCCCACGAGCGGGGTTTTGGGAGCAGACGTGTCCTGGTTGCGGGTTCTGGACGTCAGCCACTGCAGAGAGCTGGGCGGGCAGCATGCTGCGGCCCTGACCGCCGGGCTTGACCGGCTGGAAGAAATTTCTCTGTCCGGCATTGTAGCCTCGGGCAGCTTCTCGTTCGCCAGTTCGAGCATCCGGAGACTCGACGTGAACGGGCTCCGGATACCAGGCGACGAGCTGGCAATGCTCCTGCGCAAGAACCCGCGGCTCCAGCGGCTGGACGTCAGGGGTTGCAACCAGGTCGGTTCACGTGAGTGCTCTCTAGACGACGGGGGAGACTGTAGTAGGCTCGGAATGAAAGACGGCTGCTCTCGTGCCGAATCGACGTCGAGCGGGAAGACTGATGGGCACAGGGTTGGTAGTAAGTCAGCAGCAGAGCGATCAGCAGACGGGCATCGACAAGCCGAAGAACCTTTTTCGGTCGGACCTTCGGAGCAGCCGGCGGTGTGGGGAGAGGGGTCCAAGCTGGAGACGCTGAAAGTGAGCTGGGGTTTCGGCCACGGGAGTTTTCGGCGCCTGGGTTCCGCCCTTGGCCAGCTGCGGTCGCTGACATTGGGCCTGGGGGCAGCGGTCAGTGACGCGGATTTGGCGGAGCTTGCAGGAGCGTGCCCGCGGCTGGAGCATCTCAGGCTGCGCATGCTGGTGAGGCTAGTGGACACAAGAACAGGTCCTTATCCTGCTTCGTCAGATGATTGCTTGACTGATCGTGCCTTTTGACTTGTCCGGTTCAATGCTGACACGCTATAGACGAGTTATCTCTTTGTGGAAGTGCGCCTTTGAAGCCCAGAATCAAGGGCTCTGTTTCAAAGGCGGCCCGCTTGTCCGGATCCGGTGCGCGTGCACGGTCAGTGTCTGAACTTACGCTACTGGTCGCATGTATGATTTTATCCAGATTTGGACGCCACTTTGTATGACGCATCTACAGTCTCGTTTGCAAGCCAGTGGGCGACGCCGTCGCTGCTTCGCTCAAACTTTCACCTCCTGTGTCTTTTGCAACATCTGGCCCCCAGCCTGTTTCTTCCTTTTAACAGATGATCTCCGGGGAGGGCATCCTCCCGGTTGTTCGTCAGGCCCAGCACCTCTCGACCCTGAGCCTGCACCACTGTGCGGGGCCGTTTACGCCCAGGCTGCTGGACACCCTCTGTGGCTCGGCGGCAGGGGCCAGCCTGCGAACATTGAAGCTGGTAAGCGGTTAGCGTGCGTAGATCTTTTAAGTGATTGATTGATGCATTACTTCGTATGCCAAGCAGTAAGCCTTTCGGCACTTTGACGATATCTGTTGCTAGCTTCCCGCGAATACGTTATTGTCTTCCCGTGACGCTCTTGCTCGGAAGCCGACAGGACTTTTACGACTGTGCGCAGCCTTCTCTGAGTGCCTGAAGAAAGGACACAGAGATCTTACTGTCTGCGTGCTTTGCTCAACAGTCTGCACTTTGTTTTGGCTATGCTGCTCGATCCTTACCCAAGTTTTGGAAAGCCACAGTCGCATTCAACTAGAAGCTAAGGCCTAATCCTGATCCAGGCACTGCTGTGCCGGCCTCATTAGCGCTCTCACAATTTCTGCAGATCGGGGGCATCTCGACCCTCGATGATGCCTGCATCGCCCGGTTGGCCAACGGACTGCCCACGCTCGAAAAGCTCGCCCTGGCGGGCGCTCGCCGACTGACCCCGGCCGCTCTGAAACTCATCGCCGAGGGCTGGCCCGCACTGCGCCACCTGGCACTCGAGGTAAGCGTGAAATTCTATGGCCTGACGATCCGTTGAGATTGTTCGAGAACGCTAGGGCATCCCAGGCGAAAGTTCTGCTGGATTGGTGAGTGGACTGATTGCTAGCTTCGCTCACACAGACACGTGTGCCCTCCCCATCGACCTTGTTCACACCTGCCGGTTCTCTCGAGATGTGGCACGTCTTGGAAGCGAGGATCAGGGGCAATGGAATACTGCGTGCTGCCGACCAAGTCTGTGCGACTTCCTCTGACGGCGGATCAACTGCGTGTCGACGTTCCGTGCAGAACTGTGGCCGAGTCACAGCCGACGGTGCCGACGTCCTCTTCACCTCCTGCTTCGCGCTCGCGTCCCTGAAGCTGGTGCACAGCGGCCGGGGGCTGCCCGTCGACTTCATCAGAGCAGCCCACGACCGGATGCCCATGCTCACGTCACTCTTCCTGGATGGCTGCGATGCCGCCGACGGCAAGTTCGCGTTGATCGAGGTGAGTCCTCGTACTTGCAGTCCTGTTGACGAACTTTTTACCACCTTGCAGCTTTCGGTTTCCTCCTGCATCCCGGCAAGGTTAGTTTCTATCGCTCGTTCCTACAAAGCCGACTGTATTTTCACACGCTTCGTCAAAGGGGCCAGCAAGCTGCCACTTCGTGAGTGGGTTGACCTACCATTGTGCTTCATGGCTACCGATGCATCCAGTCGGCTGCGTCGCACTTCCCTAAATTCTGCTCTTTTCTTGGCGCAGCCGATGGCAACGTCCGTGCAGGGTCCTCTTCAGTCAATTCAAATAGGGAAATGTAAGAAAGATAAAGCTCTCCATCCGGCAATTCGAATGTCGGATCCGGAGAATTACTCCACATTAGTGCGAATCTGCATCGATAAGATCGAACTGTAACTTACTGCCGACGGCAACCCTCCATGGTTGGACTCATTTGTCCAAGTTTCAGGACTTTCATGTTGTTTCAAGAGACGGGACACACACATCCTTTTCAAGAACACGGGTGTCTCGTTTCCAATGCCTTGCATTCAAGCTCTTGATACGTAGGCTTGCTGACACGCGTTCTATTGTAAAACCGTCCTGGCCCAAAATCTTGCTAGGACTAAGCGGCTATACGATGGCTTTCTCATGCTGGTCTGTGACTCAATTGTCCGGTTGCGTATTCGTGTGCACGGATTGCGTATTATCTACAACCACGGATCGAGTATTATCTACAATAAGTGCAACGAGGATGCACAGGCAATTGCACGACCTATTCCACCCGCACGTACAACTGTCTGTACGTGCCGGTGAACGCCGTTGAGTGATTCTATCAGTGACTATGCATGTGATTGAAATTCCTCAAGCTGGCAAGGCGTCCGTATTGCCGTACTTGACATGCTATGCAATCGGATGGACGTACATATAGTGGGCAAGCACTTGCGCTGCGGGGGGTTCTAGCTAGCTTTACATTTGGAAAATCAATTTGATGATGCTCATATGTATGTGAAGTGCATCAGTTCGTAGGGCAAAAGTGCACGAGTCTTGCTGTCCACGGTGCAAACATGCCACGTACTACGTGTAGTACAAAAACGCGCATATGAACGTAAGCATGGGTTCCACTCCAACTGAGCATCAGGCTGCATGGTGCACATGGTTCATGCATGCGGTGCAAGTGACGTATACTCCATGCAATCGCCGTTCGCGGCAATTTTTGTATATCTCTGCCCGCGGCCGGACTCAACAATGTCACAGCGCACGAAAATGAACAAGCATGCAGGTACGTCCAGTAAATGCACTGTGGAACCGGTACGGTCACGGCAGGTTGGCACATGTTTGCTAGGCGCTGCAGGTATCAGCCAAGCAATCCTGTAAAACCACCATCCTGCTCGGATGTATAGTCGAGGCTACGTCGCTGCATGGAACAGAAAGCGCTCACCGCAGTGTCAAGAAGAATGCGGCCTCGAAGTGTGCCTCCGTTAGTGGCAAGCCTCTGTAAACGTATTGCGAGGCGCTAACGTTTCCACCTGGACGTAATCAAAAACCTAGCAAGCTGCCTTCGACTCGACCCACTGGCAGCGTATGCAAGTAACTTGGCGATGGGACGCTCGGGCGGCTGAGCACCTATTTGCTGCTTGTGTGGCAAGTCTTATAGTATTATGGCATGTACCTTAACAAGGCCACAGTAGATGTCCAGGACGTATTTTAAGAGTTTCGCGCCGATTTGAAGCCGAAGCTTGAAAACGACCTGCTAAAATTCTTGGGGCCCATAGTCCGCCTCTACCGTCACGACTCCCAGCGGCAGCTGGTACGCCGCGTGGCGCATCACGATGAACGAAAAGTGGTCCACGACCGCCGGCTCCTTCTTGAGCAGCAGAAAGACGACTGCTTGGAACTGGGCGGGCCAGTTGCGGTACCATAGTCGATTGGTCTTGTCGACGTACCGGCGGGTGACGGCTAGATCGGTGCTGAAGTAGTCGCACAGCGGGTCGGACACGCGGCTGGTGGGCAGCAGGCCATGGGCCAGGATGCTCGGGATGTTGGCCGGGGGAGTGCCGTGGAACGCCACCACGAACGGGCCCAGGCCGGGGGACGACCGGAGTTCCTCCCACAGATCTGTTAACCGAGGACAGGGGCAGGGCAATCGTTCGTCATGTGGGCTTGTGTCGTTCTTGTGTGTGAAAACACTGGTTCCTGATACCAGGAGAGAGAATAAGGGCTGGTGCAATGATAAAGCAGGGCCGACGGTTATCGGTCTTCGATTGAGCGTAGGGGCATTGGAGGCGCTTCTGCCACCGACTTAAACGCCTCCCAAAACTGCGAAAGGCCCGCTTTCGAGCCTGAGAAGAGAACCAGCTGGCAGGATATACACGCGGATTTCCATATACCAGGGGTCAGCTCTCCGCACTGTCCGAAGGGATTACAATGCTGGTGTCAGGGGGAGGGGGGACAAAACAGGGGGAGAAAAGATGGAAGAACCCTCTACAAAACCCCGGTTGAGGAGCCTTCTAAGCATCCTGTCACGTCTCCGACCGGTTGGCTCACCCGGGAGGGTGTCCTCGTGTTGCAGCAGCGTGTCCAGGAACCGGTCGAGCATGTAGCTGGACCTCTGCAGGTGCGCGTTCAGGCGCACGTCCGTCACCCGGTACCCGCGCGCCAACTGCGCCACCCGCCTCTCCAGGAAGTTCTCGTCGCACATTTCGAGCAGCCGCTCGCGCAGGGCCTGCGCGAGATCAGCGTAATCAAGACGGAAGAATAGAAATCCAACTTATGGGGCCCTGGAGCCCGTCTATAATCTTCAGAACTTTGGCTGCAGACTGTCACATGGAAACACTGGAAAACGGTCGCGTTTTGTTACCTTTCTGACATGAATAATGGACAAATTTCTTCGCCTCATTGTGCGTCGCGCCAAAATGTTCCAACGTATCTGGATAGTTTGCTTGTCGTCGGCGAAGCGATGCCAAAAAAGAAAGCCTTGAGCGGCTCCAACCTGTCTTCGATCCCACAGTGATGGGCCACGAGGAGCCGCAGTCTGCTGCACTTCCCAGGTTGGATAGACACGCGGTGTTGCCTCCGACGTGACGTCAGCAATGATTTCACTGCGGCCGAAATGAAAGCATAAGTTCTTACAGGGCAAGAGTGCTCTTAGCTTCAGCAAGCAATTGCGGATGCGAGAAGCGCAAGCAAAGAACGATCTTACAGCCGCACCGTACGTCCAAAACCAAAGCGCCCAAAGTTGGCACCTGCGAGCTGAAAAGCACTTCAACGCCGTACAATGCTTTTTTGCACCCTCAAGCATCGAAACATTTACGGAGGAAAGCGCGTATGTGCCACTTGATCTTTAGCTTTAGCTACCTGCGCTGACTTACCCGGGTATCATTTCCGCGAAGAGGTACCAGGCGAGGAAGACCGCGATGGGCAGCGGCAGAACGAAGGCCAGGTACAGCGCCCAGAAGTAGGCGAGAGCCAGGATGTGCCCAAAGAGCGCGAGCGTGGTGAAGCCCAGGAAGAACGGGCAGAGGAAGACGCACAGCAGGAAGACGAGCCGCGGCCGGTAGAACGCCCTCAGGAGCTCTGCTTGGTCGCACAAGGAGTCCAGAAACTGATACGGAAGGGCGAAATCAACGTGGGAGAAACTTTCCAGACTTCAGACTTCAACAACTGATACTTGAGAGGTGAACAAGCTAAACTAACGTGAACTGGATCTTCAAGAAATGTTTATGAGGTCCAGTCAGGAGAATTCAAATTCAGGCGGTGAGCAAAGGATGCACCAAATCGCGGAATAGCTTCTCCCGTCATTCTGCTTTACGCTTTCAACGAGTCAGATCTTTCTTCATTAGCCCGGTGCATTTTGACATCTGCTCGGAGTTCACATTGTGCGGCCCATCAGAATCTACTTTTTCATGGCGAGGGTCTGCATATTCTCAACGTGAGCAGATTCAGCGACCATGCAGCAATCTACAATCATCAAGCACGATCGTTCACATGTAGAACTAGCGCACTCACATCTGCAATCCCCGCCCTTCGATATCCTGCCATCGCTTTTCTGGCCCCCTCGCTGTAGCTAGAAGACTTCTCACTTCTTCCGCATGGAAGCTAGTATCTTCGAGCGACTGCCGAAAAGTCGAGAGCGTCCAAATGCTCAGGCCAGCACCCAGATAACACTTTTCATTTCCCCTTGCATGGCGCATTGAGGGTCAAGCGGTCTGGTTTCCGTTTTCTTATCGTCACTTCCCCACTGCTCAAATCACTCCAGACGAGACGAATCGACGGGCAACCATGGACTACCCCTCTGCGTTAAAAGATGCATACAACCCTCACCTTTAGTTCCAGTCAGTAGGTTCCTCTCCAGAGGACTTGAAAGCTTGAAAGAATGCGATCCCACCCGGCGGCTACTTGCAATGGTGACATGCAGCACTTCTCCGTTGAAAGTACCGCACGGTAGCTGCTGCGGTCGAAGAGTTAAGAATATGATTGATCTGCGAACCGTCGAATTCGACTCGTATCCACTTTCCCCGCCCATCTCGATCCTTGAGTGACACTTGAGACCAGCAATGGCACCTTAATGAGCATGAATGTCTCCTCCAACTTCATACTGGCAGGTCGAGTCGCGTCCTCGATGTGTATGACGATTGTAATGTCGGGCTTGTGACGTTCTGAGAGTTGCAGTGGTCGCGACATTTCGGTGCGAAAGCACTTGATCGTGCAGATTGCCCCATGCAAGGAGAATGAATTGCAACAACTGGGCGCTTTCGACTCATTTGATCAGGAAGGCAACGTGACTGATCCGCAAGGTCGCCGGCCAAGATCGGAAACACGAGCTCCCATATGCCAGAAGCAGGAGCTCATTTTTCCAGCCACAACCACGGCCAGCAAAAAGAGGGCAGGGCGTCGAGATGGAAGGGGGAGTAGATGTAAGTGCGCTGTCTACAGACAGGCGTTCCAATCTGACCGAAAATTCTGCATAGGTGTTTGTATTTTCCCACAGCAATCAAAGACTTCCGCTTGGAAGATGCTGAAAGTTGGGCCTGCATGAACATGGAGACTTTCGAGAGAACCCAAGACATCACCGAAGACAGGATGTACCGAAGATGAGTCAATGATTTGGAAGTAATTGGAGCATTGACCGGAGAAGGAATTGCATCTTTCAAAACAGTGCATGCATTGCTCCCCACCTGCACTCGATTCCGCCTGAAACCTTATCGTAACTCAAACGCCCAACTTCTCCTGTCGCCGTTGAGCTCTGCAAAGTCTCTGTAACCAGAATCAATTCCTTATCGTCAGGTTTGCGACGTCGTTTCCTATTTGTGGGACCAACTAGAGATCCTGAAGGCGAAGCTGGGGCCGACCGTCTTCTTGCTGGGCTTCTTCTTCTGCCCGCCATTCCTGGGCTTCACCCTATGCGCGCTCTTCGCTTACCTCCTGGGTTTGGGGGCGTTGTACCTGGCCATTGCTCTGCCGGTGCTGCCCGCCCTGCTCTTCCTCGCCTGGTGCCTGTTTCCGGAGGTCATTCCCGGGTAAGTTGAACCAACTTGTCAAGGCTTGTACATATTTGCCCGTGGACAAACTTTTGTCGCAAAGCCTTGGATTTCAGAATGCAGATGGCTTGTTACGGCGGTGCGAAGCTCTTCGCCCCGCAGTGGCTAAGTGGGCTGCATCAAAGCGACCGGTGCGGCCCTGAGGTCATTCTTTGTCGTCTTCCGTGCGCTTCCCGCATGAACAATTGGTTGCTGAAGCTCAAAGGAGCCTCTTGGCAGAAAAGAAGGAGTCTCCTTCACGGCTGCAGAGATACTATCGCGGAGATTGTCTCGGGGGCGATACCACGTGGCTACTTAAACGGCGGAGTGCAGCGAAGACGGGTGAGGGCTGCACGGACCCTTTCTTTGCACTTGCATCGCTCCGCTGACGAAAAGTTCGTCATCAGATTGCTCCAAACACCTCGGAGTATGACATTCGTTCAAGATCAGGAATTTTTAGGTCGATGGAACGCAACCACATCCTAGAGTTTCCAAACAGTACTCTGTAGCCGACGCGGAGCGGTAAGAAGTGCTGCGGGCCCTGAGGACTGGAAATTAACGGTCTTTCTATCTTAGTATCTTGATCGCGCTGATCTCGCGCAGGCGGCCCTGCGCAAGGAGCTGCTCAAACTGTGCGACGAAAGCTTCCTCGGGAGGCGCGCGGCGCAGCTGGCACGCGGGTACCGGGTGACGGACGTGCGCCTTAATGCGCACCTGCGGGTTACCAGCTACATGCTCAACCGGTTCCTGGACACGCTGCTGCAACACGAGGACACCATCCCGGGTGAGACTACCGGGTGGGAGCCGCCGAGGGGACAACCGGCCCCCTAGGCAGAACCTTCGTCATCCATTTTTCATAGCATCGTAGATCCTTTTAACAAAGGTGATGAGCGGACCCGTGAAGCATGCTTGTGTCTCCTACTAGGTGTTGCTTACAAAGCTAGACGCGGAGTCTCCTGGGATGTGTAGGAGCATTTGTACTGATAGCAGCTACAGTAGTTAACAGCCGCATGCATGCTAATCTTACACTTAATCAAAGACCAAGTGGGCCTCAACGTCCCTGCAGACTTCTAAACACCAGTTCCCTTGACTTGTGCTTACAGCAGCTGTTAGTCCCGTCACAATTTCAATTCGACCAGACAAACCCAGGCAAGCCCGATTTGCAAAATCAAGATGCCCTCTCCTGCTTTGCAGGTTTGTGTGGTTACCTCCGATTGTCCCCCATCCTGGGCCCGTTCGTGGTGGCATTCCATGGCACTCCCCCGCGCAATATTCCGAGCATTCTGGCGCACGGTCTGCTGCCCACCAGCCGCGAATCCGACCCGCTGCGCGACTACTTCAGCACCGATCTGGCAGTCACGCGCCAGTACGTCGACAGGACCCAATGGTACCGCAACTGCCCCGCTCGATTCCAGGCGGTGGTCTTTTTGCTGCTCAAGAAGGAGGCGGACATGCGCGACTATCCGTTCATCACAGTGCGCCAAGCGGCGTACCAGCTGCCGCTAGGAGTGGTGACAGTGGAGGCGGGCTGTGGGCCCTGAAGTAGCTAAAGCCCTGGAAAGAATTCAGCAAACGTAGAAGATTGGGCTCGTGATGGATGCGAAGACCTTGTTCCGATAACGTGAACGGACAATTCGTTTGGCGCTGGCGAAGAGCGGGAGGTGTAGTCGGCAGTGGATTACCGCAGCATATGCATCTGCGCATTTTATGAAAGCTGTCGCATCCGATCATTCCGTTCTGCTACAGGGCAATGAGCAAATGACGGTCCGAGATCGATGTTGATGAAAAGAGCTGTCTCCTGAACCCGCAGATTGTCAATGTTGTGCTGCTCTTCAGGTGAAGGTATTCTAATGTTGGGTACTCAAAAAATCTCGAACACACGCATCAATCTGATACGAAGAGCGGACTCGAGCACGCACATGAAAGCTGGACTGATGCCGGCCGGCCGGCCAGGCACGTGGACTTCTGCGCGCCTATGATTACAATTGTGCAAAAGCCAGTGCTGCGGGGCCCAATCATGGATCAGCTCTTGGCGCGCGAGCATCGATCAAGCAAACGTTCATACACGTTGTCAACCTTTAGGCATACCGGTACACTCTGAACAGAGCCTTAGGCATACACTCTGCACAGGCCGACCGGACGTTAAAGCTGAGCCATGCGGTGCTTCAAGTTTCTAACACTCTCCAGGCGCTCCTAACAAGAGTGACAGAAGAAGCAGAGGAAGCACGTGCTTTAGTAGCTTTACCCCTCCAGCTTCGAGTCTAAGATTCTGCTCTCATCTCAGAGGGTTGAAATGGAGTAGGCTTGTAGTGCCTTCCTGAACCTTTGAAAGCCACATCTTGCATCGGGTTGTACTTTGGTGCAGCCTTAGGCCCATAGAGTTTTCCGGGTGTCTGTCCACATCTGCCGGGCCAATATTTGCTCTCTTTGCAACACTTACAAGATGTCTACTCCAATTGTTTTCACCTTCTAGTTCTTTTAACATAGTTCTTTTCAGCATTTACCAATGTAAGCTGTTGCAGCTTGTGTTCAGACAACGACTATGGAGGAATGAGTGCTGACCTCTGTCAGCAGGCCGGATTAATGGTGTTGACCGAGGCGGGGTCCTTGCACTGTAGGCTGATGGCAAGGAGGCATGGGTGGGATGGCAAGGCAAATGGGATGTCTTGTAAGATGCTTAGACTTCTAATACTATCGACAACATCATATGACAACATTCAGGAGTTGTTTGTATCCAAGGCAAGAGGAGATCTTCAAAGGAAAGACCGGCTCAGGCTCGCACTGAAGTTGTGGGATATGATGGAGGGAGCATCGGTGCCGTTACATGGGTCAATGGAATTTTGGCATACAAACCAGGCGCTCTATGCGGCAGCTACCAGCCTTGAGGATGACGGAGAGCAACACGGGGGGGTTCCAGTTGCACAAGATAGTGGGTGGTATAGTTTCAGCTTAGAGTCCATGCTCTACTTCGTTGACAAATGTGTTATCCCACGCTGGAGTTGCACTATCCCAGAGATGTACGAATTGAGACGGAAGGAGACCATAGACTATTACCATGATCGTTTGGAAGAAGTCTTAAGAAAAGGATAGGAGTCGCGGAGCAGCAGAGTAAGGTTGCCTGTACATAATGCAGTCCCTTGGTACACAAATATTGATGAAAGCGCAGCTTTTTGACATGAGATAAATCGGTCACTCGCTTCCTACGCCTTGCGTGGTCAGAATTCTACCTTTATACGGAGCTGCAAAACACAAGAATGGCCAAATGCATAATATTTTGGAAGCAATGCCAGCAGACATGGGATTGTGGCCGAGACACCCTCTGTTGGCCTAGCCTTAAAATGATCATGTCGTGCCCAATGCTCTCTACCTTATTCCTTGGCCTCCCTTTCCAAACTACGCCAAGATAATCTGCATTGGTGGTGCCTGATGAGGAGCCGATGCAGTGGAAGCGGTGCGAGATGATGGAGGCTGCCTGGAGGAGTCTGGTGGACTGGGTGGCCACGAAGGTAGTCGTAGTAAGTTTCATCCTAGACTTGAAAGCCCAAGCTGCAATCACGCTTTTTGCTCCCGTGCATAGAATATAACGTTGAAACTCTTGGAAAATCATGCATGTTGATGAGTACAACCAGTTTAGAGTCTGTGGTTAGTGTACAACTAGGGCATTTCAAGAACGGTTGTACACCGTTACTATTGGCCCTGTAGCCAGTTCAATGCCAGAGCTGTTGTGTGATGATCATGCGCAGGTGCATGTGCGGCCGTAAGCTAATGACTAGTAAGATTTCCGCCCTTTGCCATCGCCAAACACATCGTAACTTCCGTAACAGGTACAAAGGTCCGAACATTGATTCGATAACGCAGACTATAGGTCCCACCGTTAATCTATGTACTGTACACTCCTAGTTCTGCAGTCCGGCTTCTAAACCGTTAAGTTTGAGGGCTCCCGCCTCCGGTCACCACCTCGTGCTGCCTATTTTCTCCAGCACGGAGTGCTTCTTCGGGCTCTTACTCCGCTTGCCCGCGCCCTCCAACCCCACCGGCTTCGCGCTTGGTTTCGGTATTGACGCGGGGCCCACCAGGGGTGGCCCCTCCACCTTGGAGGTGCCCCGCACGCGCAGCTCGTAGCAGTCCTGGCAGACGCGCACGGGCGTGAAGTAGCCCAGGTCCTCGAGCGGCACCTTGCGGCTGCAGCACTTGGCGCACAGCACGCGCCCGCAGTTGCAGCAGTGGTGCCGCCGCTCCACCAGCGCGAACCGGCGCTTGCACGCGCTGCACGCGGTCACGCTGCTGTCTTCTTGAAAGTGGTCGCGCAGCCCATCCTCCGGCAAAGCCCAGCACACCACGCGCCCCGCGCGGTCCCCGCTGAAAAGCGCCTTCAGCGACGGGGCCACGCATACCGCGCTCACGCCCGCGCTGTGCCACGTCAGCACCTTCTTCAGCACGAGCCGGTACTCCGGCCCGCCGTGCACACGGGGCGACGCGCCCTGCTTCGGCTCGTGGTCCGACGATCTCCGCCTGGGGGCGTGCAACACCACGCCGAGCGGGTCCCGCTTCTCCGGTGTCTCGTCCTCGGAGGCCGTGTCCCCCTCCTCGCTCACGGGCTTCATGATGTGGTCCTTGAGCAGGTCTTCGATGGTGACGCTCGGGCTGGGGGGCGGCTGCGGCGTCTGCAGCGCGGCGCTCGCGAAGTCCGTGAAAGTGGAGCTTTTGTCGACGGCCGCAACGGCTTGCGCAGCGTGCTGCAGCGCCGACACGTTCATGCTGAGACTGCGCCGCTCGCGGCTGACTTTGCGCGCGCCCTGCTCCAGCTGCGCCGCGACGACCCGGTGCTCCAGGCCCCACAGCTTGATGGACCCGTCCGCATGCCCGCTCACGTACAAGTTCGTTTC